TGTTAGGAGGACCTAGGGGTGTGGGGCAGCAAGGAGACAGGAAGAAGGTCTGGGGAAGTTATTCGGACAGTGAAGAGAGCCAGGTGGGTCAACCATCCTCTGTGCTTTGCACTTGACAGCAACCGCCCCCACCCCTCCTGTTTCTCTGCTCTCATTTTAATTTATCTTTTATTTTTTTTTATTTTTTATTTTTTGAGACGGAGTCTCGCTCTGTCGCCCAGGCTGGAGTGCAGTGGCCGGATCTCAGCTCACTGCAAGCTCCGCCCCCCGGGTTCACGCCATTCTCCTGCCTCAGCCTCCCGAGTAGCTGGAACTATAGGCGCCCGCCACCTCGCCCGGCTAGTTTTTTGTATTTTTTAGTAGAGATGGGGTTTCACCGTGTTAGCCAGGATGGTCTCGATCTCCTGACCTCGTGATCTGCCCGTCTCGGCCTCCCAAAGTGCTGGGATTACAGGCGTGAGCCACCGCGCCCGGCCTATCTTTTATTTTTTTAAAACATAGAGATGGGGTCGGCCGAGAGCTCTGTTGCCCCGGCTGGAGTGCAGTGGCACACAGTTCACTGTAGCCTCAGCCTCCAGGCTCAAGCTATCCTCCCACCTCAGCTGAGTAGCTGGGACTACAGGCATGCACCACCACACCTGGCTAATTTTTTATTTTTTGTAGAGACGGGGTCTTGCTATGATGCCCAGTTTGGTTTTGAACTTCTGGCCTCAAACAATCCCCCACCTCAGCCTCCCAAAGTGCTAGGATTACAGGTATAAGCCACCATGCCCAGCTCCACTGCTTTTATTTTATTTTATTCATTTTATTTTTGAGATGGACTCTCACTCCGTCGCCCAGGCTGGAGTGCAGTGGTGTGATTTCGGCTCACTGCAACCTCCGCCTCCTGGGTTCAAGCGATTCTCCTGCCTCAGCCTCCTAAGTAGCTGGGATTACAGGCGCCCGCCACCATGCCTGGCTAATTTTTGTATTTGTTTAGTAGAGACAGGGTTTTGCCATGTTGGCCAAGCTGGTCTCGAACTCCTGACCTCAGATGATCTGCCCACCTCTGCCTCCCAAAGTGCTGGGATTACAGGCATGAGTCACCATGCCCAGCCTGGCTAATTTTTTTTTTTTTTTTTTTTTTTTTTTGAGACAGAGTCTCACTCTGTCGCCCAGGCTGGAGTGCAGTGGCACTGTCTTGGCTCACTGCAAGCTCCGCCTCCCGGGTTCATGCCATTCTCCTGCCTCAGCCTCCCGAGTAGCTGGGACTACAGGCGCCCGCCACCTCACCCGGCTAGTTTTTTGTATTTTTTAGTAGAGACGGGGTTTCACCAGGTTAGCTAGGATGGTCTCGATCTCCTGACCTCATGATCTGCCCGTCTCAGCCTCCCAAAGTGCTGGGATTACAGGCTTGAGCCACCGCACCCTGTCGGCTAATTTTTGTATTTTTAGTAGAGACAGGGTTTCGTCATGTTGGCCAGGCTGGTCTCGAACTCCTGGGCTCTAGTGATCCTCCCATCTTGGCCTCGTAAAATGCTGGGATGACAGGCGTGAGCCACTGTACCTGGCCCAGATTATTTCTCAATCTTTTCATTTATGGCTTCTGGAGTTTATGTCATAATTTCATAATTTAGAAATGCCTCTTGGGGATTGTTAACACCAATTCTCCTGTGGACTTTTGGGGGCTTTTTCCTTCTCCCTTAAAAAATCATTTAAATATTTTATCTATCTGGAATTTATATTAGTGTAATATGTGAGATGTGGATGCAACCTACTTTTTTCCCCCCAGCTGGCCAGTGAGAGTGCTTTTTTGGGATGGGAGTGGGAAGGGAAAGACAGGAAGGTTGGGCAATGAGGAGGACAGTAACTGAAGAAGAGAAGCTTTCAGCTCTGTGTGGTGGCTCTCGCCTGTAATCCCAGCACTGTGGGAGTCTGAGGTGGGCGGAACACCTGAGGTCAGGAGTTCGAGACCAGCCTGGCCAACATAGCACAACCCCGTCTCTACTAAAAATACAAAAATTAGCCAGTTGTGGTGGTGCGCACCTGTGATCCCAGCTACTCAGGAGGCTGAGGCAGGAGAATTGCTTGAAGCCCGGAGGTGGACGCTGCAGTGAGCCTAGATCTCACCACTACACTCCAGCCTGGGTGACAGAGTGAGAGACCCTGTCACAAAAAAAAAAAAAAAAAGAAGCTTCCTTGCCAGTGGGTATAGCAGAAACCAGAAGTGTCATAAATAGTCAGGAACCTGGCTAGGTGCAGTGGCTCACACCTGTAATCCCAGCACTTTGGGAGGCCAAGGCAGATGGATCACCTGAGGTCAGGAGTTCAAGACCAGCCTGGCCAACATGGTGAAACCCCGTCTCTATTAGAAATACAAAAATTAGCCAGGTGTGGTGGCACGAGTCTGTAATCCCAGCTACTCAGGCGGCTGAGGCAGGAGAATCGCTTGAACTCAGGAGGCGGAGGTTGCAGTGAGCTGAGATGGTGCCACTGAACTGCAGCCTGGGTGACACAGTGAGACTCCTTCCCCCGCAAAAAAGTCAGGAAGTTGCTGAGATCATCCAGGTGAACGATGAACGGTGAACCCACGTGGCCCCAACTGGAACAGGGACAGCAGAAAAGATAACAAGAGGAGGTTCTGGAGATAGAATCCATAGGACCTGGTTATGGGTTCAATGGGAAAAGGCGAAAGAGGGAAAATGCCTGTTTCCTGATGTTTCCTTAGTAATATTATTAGCAGACAGAGTTTCAGTGTTTTTGGAGTTCTGGTTTCACAAAAACGCAGGGGGCATGGAGTCAGAGTCCAAATTTGAAGCCTCACTGGGACATCCAGAGGAGGTGTCCAACAGGGTGTTGAAAAGATGGCACAGAGTATCAGATATCTGGGTGATGAATTTCTCCCCAGCTCTCTCGTGGGGTGAGTGTGGAGTTACCTATTCAGTCCCTTACTTGGACAGGTATTGTGCCCCACCCTGAGGACTACTGCATTCATCCAATCTGTTGGAGGGGCAGTTCCTGGACATAGGAAACCTGGCACCTGGGCCACGGTAATAATCTCTTTATGTAGGATTTTGCTATTTTCACAATATTGTAAAGATGAAGAGTGGATGGGAATGGTGGCTCACACCTGTAATTCCTACACTTTGGGAGGCTGAGGCAAGGGATCCCTTGAGGCCAGGAGTTCAAGACCAGCCTGGGCAACATAGCGAGACCCTGTCTCTACAAAAAATTAAAAAATTAGGCTGGATACAGTGCTCACACCTGTAATCTCAGCACTTTGGGAGGCCAAGGTGGGAGGACTGCTTGAGGCTAGGAGTTTGAGACCAGCCTAGGAAACATGGCAAAACACCACCTCTACAAAAAAATTTCAATCAACTTTCTTTAAAATGAAAAATAAAAATACAAAAATTTGCCAGGTGTGGTGGCGCATGCCTGTAATTCCAGCTACTAGGGAGGCTGAGGCAGGAGGATCATCTGAGCCCAGGAGGTCGAGGCTGCATTCCAGCCTCAGTGACAAAGGGAGAGCCCATCTCAAAAAATAAATAATATATATGCTATATAATATATATTATTTATATAATATATAAATATAACAAATATAACATTTATATTATATATTATGTAATATTTGTATATTATATTTATATATTCTTTTATATATATTACACTCTGTTGCCTAGGCTGGAGTGCCGTGATGCGAACTGGGCTCACTGCAACCTCTGCCTCCCGGGTTCAAGCGAGTATCCTGCCTCAGCCTCCTGAGTAGCTGGGATTACAGGCACCCACCACCATGTCCGGCTAATTTTTGTATTTTTAGTAGAGACAGTGTTTTGCCATGTTGGTCAGGCTGGTCTCGAACTCCTGACCTCAGGTGATCCGCCCACCTCGGCCTACCAAAGTGCTGGGATTACAGGTGTGAGCCACCGCGCCTCGCCTATTTTTAAAAGATGGAGAAGGGACTCTGAGAGAAGTGAGTTGCACAGTGTCGCAAAAGGAATTCACAGCACACCTAGTAATAATAGTAGTAGTAGTAGTAATAATAACAATGGCGATGAGAACACTTACTAACGCCCTGCTCTAAATCCTTTAGGAACAAAGGTTATACCATTCAATCTTCATTACCCTGTAACGTAGAAACCATAGCAGGAGGCAGAGGTGGGCTTCATACCCCGACCAAGGCTGCCAGACTTTTCAAACCCCAGAAGCTCTCTGTATCCCCCAACTCCTCCTCCATCCAGGGCTTGCCTCCTGCTTGGTCACTTCCCACGCCCAACAGGCCAGCCTTCGAATGCGAGCCCTAGGCAGCCTGTGGGGGCCTCTCGCCTGTAATCGCAGCACTTTGAGAGGCCGAGGAGGGAGGATCGCTTGAGACCAGTTTGAGACCAGCCTGGGTATCATAGCGAGACCGCATCTCTGCAAAAATAAAATAAAATAAAATTAGCTAGGTGTGGTGGCGCGCCTGTAGTTCCAGCTCCTGGGAGGCTGAAGTGGGAGAATCGCCTGAGCCCAGGAGTTGAAGGCTGCAGTGAGCTGTGACTGCACCACTGCACTCCAGCCTGGGCGACAGAGCGAGACCCTGTCTCTAAAAACAAACGAGTGCCCTCCGCCGTCAGGCTGGGAGGGAACCCAGGGAGACGACATGGGCCTGAAGCCTCGCCAATTTCAGGTGAGGAAACAGGGCCGTGGAGGAGACAATGTGGCGATCACGAGCTAGCGGCGGCCCGAAGGAGGAGGCTAGACCTGAGGGCGCACAGCCACGGTTCTGCGGTGACCCCCGGGAGGGTGGGCAGTCGGCCCGGTGAACTGCAGGGTCGGAGCTATAGAAGCCGCAGCCGCTGTCGCCAGGCGACTCCGCCACCCCTGGAACAACTCACTTTCATTTCTCCGGGGGACGACCCTGCGGAGCCGCGAGGGGGCGTGGCCGGGCCGTACCAAGAGCGCGGAGTTGCAGGGGGAAGCCCGGGGCTCCGGGAATGCGCGCGCGGCTCGAGTGGGCGGGGCGGCGGCCCAGTGGCCACGCCCTCACCCCCGCGGCCGGCGCGGGCGGTGGTAGCGCCTCAGTGGTGAGGGCCTGCGTCCTGCCCAGGTGCCCCAGAGAGCAGCCGGGCCGCCCGCGGTGAGTGCTAGCTTTGGCGGCGACAGCGGGGTGAGTGAGGTCGGGCCCCGGGACTCGGGGTTTGCCGGGCGCCTCAGTTCGCCGCGGCCGCCTGACTCTCCCCTTCGGGGTGGGCCCTCGGGCCGGGGCGCTGCGCGTCTCGCCCGACGCTCGGGCGGAAGGCATGGCTCCCACCCTGGCCCTCCTCCGCGTCGCCCTTTCCCTAGAGCTGACCTCCCGCGGCGGCCTGAGGGTCGACTTTTCCACAGCCTGGGCCGAGAGAGCCCGGCAGGCCCTCGGCTGAGGGTCGGGGCTCGGTATCTCAGGGCTCGGGGTCCAGTCCCTGCGCCACCGCCCCCCACGGGCTAAGCCACTTTAACTCTCCGAGCCTCAGTTTCCCCATCTGTACGATGGGCCTCGGGAGGCAGCGAATTCTGGGGTACTTAACGTGAGAGGCGCTCGATGCATGCTAATGGGACCCAAATCTGACCCTGCAGCATCAGGTGGGCTGAGTGGAGGGATCACGAGAGCCCCCCAGTCCGGCCTGCATCCCTGAGGGCAGTGCCCCTCGCAGGCAGGTGTCTTGGCGGCCCCCACAACACAGGTACTCTGCTCTCCTGGGGGAGCCGGGACACCCTTAGCTCGGGAGAGCAATTGAGTAAGAGTTCAAGGTCTCTTGGGCGCCAGGGGGAGGAGAGTGGAGGTTTCGGTGAGCTTGACCTCGACTTTCTGCGTATTGTTTTTCAAAGCGAGTTACCCTTGTGTAAACTGGTGACCAGTAATAAGGAGTTTGGGGCTGTTTCAATGAAAGTGGCTGTCTCCTCTCTTAAACCCTTAAAGCTGCAGCCTTGCCTTCCCTCTGAGCTTGGCCAAGCTGGAGAGTGATGCCAGCACAAAGGGAGACAGGACTGGACTGGGTGGCCCTGGCTTGGCTTTGATTCTTGGCGCAATAGCAAGATACCTCCTGGAGCCTCTGTTTCCTGATCAGTGGGTGGGGTAGTAAGACAGCCACCCTGCTCTCCCCACAGGGTTAAGATTCTGAGGATCAAGACAGGGTCCTAGAGAGTGGCATCGAGAACTTTAATCCTTCTTGTAAGCAGAACGTTTACGGAACCCTCTGGAATCCAGTATCCCCCACCGTTGTTCACTGCTGTAATTCCTCAGGCCTTGTTTTATGGAGAAAGCATTGATTCATTAACCATTTGCAAGTTCTACCTACGGAAATCCCTTCTGAGTGGTTATGGGGTTGGCTTGGTCAGGAGAACAGTTCCAAAGGCCTAGTTAGTAAACCAGGGAACCCAGAAAGGTCCACTTCCTTTTTTTTGGGAGGAGGACTGTCTTAGGAGTTCTTATTTTCCTTTTAAGAGAGTGGTTTTTGAGCTACTTGTGCCCTTCATACCATCTAATGTTGGAAACTGTTTCGCTGAGCAGATAGCTTATTATAAAAAGTATTTGTACAACATCTGCATTTCAGACAATGGGATGCTAGCTGCCAGTTGTGTGGTGGTGTGGAAACTTAGGAGTGGTCTTAATTTTCCAAAATTCTTCTGGTCTAGCACTTGAAAAAAATAATAGGTAGATTTGAAACGCAACAACCCAGGGATATTCCTGAAAACCGCAGCATTGACCACAGCCAATGAAAATCAGGTGTGGATCGTCCTGGGTAGTAGGAGTTTGCAAATGCCACAGAGGGTGTTTGCTGCCTGACAAACCTGAATTTTAGGACCTGCTGTTGGTTGACTCTGAGCTGATCCACCCTTAACCTCTTGAAAATTAGGATCTGTGTTAGGTAAGTCTGTGCATAGTTGGGAGACAGGCCAATTGAAATCAAAACTGCTTGGCAAATCCAGAACGTTTACTCATGAAGTCCATGAACACTTCAAGTTAAAAATAATTTACCTCTTAAGGAACTTTTTTTTTTTCTGAGACAGGTCTCACTCTGTCGTGCAGGCTGGAGTGCAGTGGCGGAATCATAGCTCACCGCAGCCTCAACCTCCAGGATTCAAGGAATCCTTCCTCCTCAGCCTCCCAAGTAGCTGGGAGTACAGGCACGCACCACCACACCCAGTTAATTTTTAAAATGTTTTTGTAGAGATTTGGTTTTGCCATGTTGCCCAGGCTGGTCTCGAATTCCTGGGTTCAAGTGGTCCTCCTGCTTTGACCTCTTAAAGTGCTGAGATTACAGGTGTGAGCCACCGTGCCTGGCTTTCTTACTACTTTCTTTCTTTCTTTTTTTTTTTTTCTGATGGAAGCTCATGAAGTTATAGGACCTTTCATGGTTCCAGAGAGACTGGCCACCCCTACAAGATCCTCAGCGTCCTTGTGCTTTAGGGAGGAGCCAGAGAAACAGAGGTCAAGCTCTGGCACTAGCACTGTGTGTGGCCTCAGCTGAGTGTGTTGGGATTTAACTTTTTATTATATGTCAGACTCACTTAAAAATTAAAGTTAGAAAAAGGTGAAATGGAGAAATGACAATTTTCTTTTTATTTTTTTTGAGATGGAGTCTCACTCTGTCGCCCAGGCTGGAGCGCAGTGGGCTCACTGCAGCCTCTGCCTCCTGGGTTCAAGCAATTCTCCTGGCTTGAATTCTACCTCAACCTCCGGAGTAGCTGGAATTACAGGTACCCACCACCTGGCCAAAGATTTTGTGCTCATTAGCACACAGTCTCCCAGGTGGCTACAGTCTTAAAAGACTTTAAAATGCCAATTCTAGGCTGGGAACAGTGGCTCACGCCTGTAATCCCAGCACTTTGGGAGACCGAGGCGGGCAGATCACTTGAGGTCAGGAGTTCGAGACTAGCCTGGCCAACATGGTGAAACCCCGTCTCTACTAAAAATACAAAAATTAGCCGGGTGTGATGGTGTGCACCTGTAATCCCAACTACTCAGGAGGCTGAGGCAGGAGAATCACTTGAACTCGGGAGGCGGAGGTTGCAGTGAGCCAAGATCACGCCACTGCACTCTAGGCTGGGTGACAGAATGAGACTCTGTTTCAACTCCCTCCCCCCTCAAAAAAAAACAACTTGTTTTGCTGTGCAGTTTTGTCACCTGGCATTGGGCAGAAATTTGGACCTGCCAGGCAGGTGGGAGAAGAGTCAGAGGTCACTTACCTGCTTGCACAGGCCGCTGATCTGTACCAAACCTTAGTTTCTTTATTAGTAAAGTCAGAGAAACAATCCCCACTCCACCTGCCTCTGGAACAGCTGAGAACATGTTCCCTTTCAACAGTGGGTCCTTCTTCCTCTTCTTGGCACTGTTTGGATCCCTGTAGCATGACACACAAAAAAGCACACATTCAGCCTTAGGATATATGTAGGTTCTGGTTCGGGCACTTGAGAACTCACAGGGAGGGAAGCAAGCGTACAATTCGACAAGAATGGCACGGTGTGTTGCATTCATTCTCAAGATGATGGGGTGAGGCTTTTATTAGTGCTGAGCCTGCTGTTTGTTTCCACAGCAGGGCTCCAGGGAAGAGGTGATGTTTGAGTCGGGTCTCGGAGGATTGCTAGGAGTTCTCTGAGCCCACCCAGGCACATCAGCTCTGGGGGAGTGTAGGGTGTAGGTTGCATGAGGCTGAGGTCGTGTGGTAGCACTTGTCTGAAATGGTCTTAGGAACCATGTGAAGACATGGGGAGGCGTTTTAAACGGTCAGGGCTATGTGACTAGCTCAAAACAGTGGTTTTTTTTCTTTCAGACAGAGTCTCACTCTGTCACCCAGGCTGGAGTGCAGTGGTGCGATCTTGGCTCACTGCAACCTCTGCTTCCTGAGTTCAAGCAATTCTCGTGCCTCAGCCTCCTGAGTAGCTGGGACTACAGGTGTGCACCACCATGCCCAGCTCAGGAACAGTGTTCTCTTGACTGAATATTCTCTTACTGCCTAAAATCCTCTCTGGGTGAATGAACAACCATTTGGGAAATTTTTACCGTGCCTAAATTTGTAATTGTACTGTTTTAGAGCTCTGCATCTTAAAAGTCTTTCCTCCCCAAGCGAGACGTTTACGTCAGTTGTATTCTTGTTGGGATTAGTTTGCACACACCTGTCTGCGTCTGTGTGTGTGTGTGTGTGTGTGTGTGTGTGTATGCATGAGAGAGGGAGAGGAGATGGTGAAATTCCATGGGGCAAACCATGGTTCTTTGCGGATTGGTGGCTCCAGTTGGTTGGGTTCACTGGAGCCACATTCATCAGTTTGTTTCTTTCTTTGCTTTTCTCTCTCTTTATTTATTTATTGTTATTTGTAGAAGTGGGGTCTGGCTATGTTGCCCAGGCCGGTCTCGAACTCCTCGCCTCAAGTGAGCCTCCTGTCTCAGCCTCCCAAAAAGCTGGGATTACAGGCATATACCACCATGCCCAGCCCAGTAACTGTTAATTCTGAATGCTGGGCGGTGTGGCAACTCAGCTGATGCTTAGATGTGTTGTGAACAGAGCCCCGGGAAACCTGATCCTTCTGGTGGCTTGTGCAGCAAACTGTTGATGTGGGAAGCTTATTTATTTCACTTGTAAAGAGGTGACTTGGATAGGGGGATATCTAAGAACTGTCCTTTAATTGGAGTGCTGGAGGGTGTGGCATTCGGACCTCCTTTGTACAGCATCTGTACATAGCTGAGAGAATTGTACACATAGTTTCCCGAAATGCGTCAGTTTCAAGGCTAACCTAGAATATGTTTGTGGCCAATCTGTGGACTCTTCTCCAAGAGTTGAATTCTGTTTTTTGTTTTTTTTTTCTTGAGACAGAATCTCACTCTTTCACCCAGGCTGGAGTGCAGTGGTGTGATCTTGGCTCACTGCACCCTCTGCCTCCCAGGTGCAAGCAATTCTGCCTCAGCCTCCCAAGTAGCTGGGATTACAGGCGCGTGCCACCACATCCGCGAATTTTTTTTTTTTTTTGTATTTTTAGTAGAGATGAGGTTTCACTGTGTTGGCCAGGCTGGTTTCAAACTCCTGATCTCAAGTGATCCACCCGCCTCAGCCTCCCAAAGTGCTAGGATTACCAGGCGTGAGTCAGTGTGTCCAGCATAAGAATTGAATTCTTTGGGAGACATCTGGTAGGAGA